GCAGGGATGGGCTGCTGGGGTGAGACCCACAGCCCCTCTGCACCTTTGGCTGTGCACGAATCTTTGCAGCATTTCTCCATTGTGGTGACCAGCCTCCCCAGTGGCAGCTCCATCTCTGAGCCGGGCTGCTGCGGTCCTAGGCTGTAAGAGCCCTGAATTGATCTCCCAATGGAGCATTATGACGTGAAGATGTGACACTAAGTCACACCCTGGGCTCTCTGTCAGTGGTGTTAACTCTGGGCCATTCTCGACTGCAGTCCCTGAAGCTGTCCTCTCGGGAAAGAGCTTTGTATCCAGCACTGTCATTAGATTTCCCTGGAGTGTCGTTAGCTCCCAGCGAGCCAAGCAGCCCCCGATCATGGCGGGCGGGGGGGGGGGTTGTTTATCTGCTTTCTCTGAGCAGGGGAGGTCTGGGAGGGTGGGGTGTTCTGCCCGTTCTGTGCCCTCTCCTTGCATAATGTCAGCAAACATTTCTGAGAGCGTTGCTAGGACGCTGCCTCTCTCCGACGCGAGTGTGGCAGGGGTGGGGCCGGGAGGAAACTGCGCTGGTTTCTGTGCATGGAGGACTAGGGACGTTTTTAAAGCTCCTGGGGAGATCCGAGCACTCCGCGTCTTAAAGTGCCCACCCCAGGCGAGATCCCTTATCTCCAGTCTCCACCCTGCTCTAGGACTGGTTTATACTGGGCTGATGGAATGGTTCCAGAGCATGTTGCTTTAGAAAGGCCGCTCACTTGTTTCCTTGGGCTCAGACGTGCTGAGAGGGACCAGGCCTTGGGACGGGCAGGCTGGGAAGCTCGGTACAATAGATCTCTTCCATGGGAGTGAATCCAGAGGCAGCTCCCCTTCCCTCGTGGAGATGAGAGATCTCAAAGCCACAGGAGGCCGCCTCACCAATACGGGGGTGTCACTGGAGCCGGCTAGCCGGAGGGAGGAAGCGGAGAAACACTCGATATGACAGCGCCAATCCTGCCCTTCTCCACCATGTGCGTATCACTCCGATTTGTGTGGCCTCAGCGTGGGGGCTGCACCCCGTACGCAGGCCGCCCCCTGGGTCAAGGCAGAGACCATCCAACTCATTTCACCGTCACCACAGCGAGGCCAGGTCAGAGGCTTATTCTAGCAGGTGGATGCTAGCCCCTCGGTCAAAGGCTTTGCCATGTCTGGGACTGGGAAGCAGAGTGGGGCCAGATCGGATCCTGCTGGGCAAACCAGGGACAAAGTGGTCTTTGGAGGCAGCTGTTCTAGGAGTGCGTAACCAGGGGGAGGATCCCACACAGTGAGAGATCAGGGCAGCCTCTGTGATCGCTGCCCCGGGGATGGGCTGTAGCAAGAGCAGATTGGTGGGAAAGGGTCAGGGAGTTCCCATCACCCTCGCTAGCCGAGTGGTTGGGTGGAGCTGTGAGCTGGACTGAAAGCTTTTAGTTCAATGCAGGTGCCTTCCGTAGCTAGGGGGATAGAGCCAGGAGTACTGGCCTCTCTTGTGGCAAACGGTGATCTGGTTCGCCTCGCTGTCCCTCTGCTCACAGCCTGGCTGCCTCATTTCAGCCTGGCAGGTAAAGTGTTAACGCTGGTGTTGCTCATGAGAGGAGGGAGGGGAATGACCGAGTAAGAAACCTGCCCCCTCTGCTCTCTCACAAACCTGCGTCTGGTTAGACCCGGATTGGAGCCAGACCTTTGCCCAGCTTGGGGCGAGAAGACCCTGGGGCAGTCTGAGGTTTCCAGAACCTTGCAAACTATTTCAGTGGGGTTGGCTGGCAAACCTAGTGTGAATTCCCAAACCTTTCTCCTTGTTGTTTTAATTTGACACGGCTGGATCCTCAGCTGGCATAAATCAGCATCGTCGCTGATGTGGGGCGACACTAGTTTACACTGGCTAAGAATCTGGACCCTGGTGTTTATTTCCCTGAGGGTGATTATGTATTTGCCTAGCTAAAGGGCAGCAGCTTGTGCTGTGTATTAGGGCTAACAGGGCCACCCCCGAAAGCTGAGCTGATATCAGAAGGTGTCCTGCATCCTGTAATGAAGTGGACAGTGTGTGTCTGCGCCCCACTGCCTCCTACTGGGTGGAGTCAGCACTGCTCGGGTTTGTCTCCGATCCCATCGTGCTGCTGGAGATTCTCCTTCAGCTCAGCTGGCAGGGCCGTGTGCTTTTTGGAGCAGGGAGATCCGAATCCTTCCCCCACTGTCGCCATGAAGATCTGAGAGACGTTGTGATGTGCAGCCTAGTGACACCTCAGAGAGACCTGAGGTGGCCACGGATTTCAATGAACCTTGAACCCAAGATTGAGTAGGCTGGAATTGACCAGTTAAATTTGCGTCACCTTAGTCTGGGTAACTTCTTTGGTATTTCTAGCCCACTCCCTGCTATGCTGTATGGGGCTCAAATAGGAAGGAGAAAGCGTTGATCTCGCTGCATCTCCTGCAGCTATCTGGTGAGAGAGCCAGTTCCCGGGAGGTTTCGTACCTGCCTTTGCAGAACCCGGAGGCCCGGCTCATTTGGAGAAGGCTCCATGCTTCCAGAGTGTATCCAGCCTGAACCTCCACGTGGTTTGAGGTTCTCCTGTCACCGCTCACAGGACACGTTCCATTGTGGAACCTTCAGGCCAAGATTGTCAAAAGGGGCTAGTGATCTGGGTGCCCTGCCTGAGTGCCTTAAAGGGGCCTGAGTTGCAGTGGCCTGGTGTGGAGCATTGTCTGAAAAACAGATCCCTGTAGGGCATCTCAAGAAAGACTAGGTGACGCAATTCCTTAAGGAGAAGGGATTTTTCTAGTTCCCGTGGCAAAGCAAAACTAAAGGACGGGCACTCTCCAAAGGGAGGCGGTTAACCCTTTGGTGACCTGAAAAGAAAGCCACACGCTTCCCCATAGCATACATTTGCCTGGCAGTCTGGAAAATGCCGCCACAGTAAGTATTAATGCAGGCATATTTCCCCCCCAGCTGCTGTGGTAGCCAACAGAGTAACGTAGCAGTTTAAACGTTCCTTCTGCAGCTGGCTGTCTTGTGCATTTAGTCAGAGGGGCCGAGTTAGAATGTATAGACACAAATATCACATTTCCCGGCCAGCGCTGGAGCAGCACTGAATCAACTCCAGAGCCCAGAGAACCCGGCCGAGCACTGTGATACCTAACGGCTTGAAATCTTTGCAGACATTCAGAAAAGCTCCGTGTGTAAAGCCCATATTTCCGTTTCCTTCCCATTCTCCCCCAGGGTCCTCTCAAAAGCAAAACAGACCCTGCTCCCCTCCCATTATTCCCCGAGTGGAAGGGCTGTGGAACAGCCCTGGGGAAGGAGGTCCCCTCTCTAGTCCATCTCTCTCGTTTCCCGACAGAAACGTCGTCATAATGGATCCGTTGCCAGAAAACATTTCGGCTTCGATGAAGCAGCACGTTTTGGCAAAATGTCCTTACATTGAAAATGTCCTGCCCGCTCATTCTTCATGGGTGTTCGCTCCCTCCTGCTGATGGGGGTCAGTGTGAGATGGATGCTGCTTCCCCGAGACTCACCACGTCCTTCCCTGACCATTCGTGGTCATTGCAGCTTCCACGGGGCCTAATTGCCGGAGGCGATTGAGCTCCCAGAGCTCCAGTTAACTTCAGCTGGGGTTGTGGGTGCTTAGCACCTCTAAACAATTAGGCCCCATGGCTCTTTCCACAGGAGGAGGCGCGTTAACCCATCTCCTAGCCTGTTTCCAGGGTAGCCAAATACCTTCTGCTTCCATAAATTCCCCCATGGTCTCAGTTGAATACAGGAGTCTTCCTCATGTCTTGTCCTGCACCAGGGATGGCTGCACGTCAGTGACTCCTGCATATCCATTTTAGACTGTGAAATGCCTTGGGAGCCTCTGACGTGGAAGACGGGGCTCATTGGGATTGGGCCACCACACTGGGTCACGTAGCTGTGGCACCGTTAGCTTGCCCTGTAGTCAGACAGTAGAAGCCTCTGAAGAGAGATAACTTGGGTGCAGCCGCTGCCGCTGTTAGTGCATCCTGAAAGTACCTTCTAGGGTACGTCTGATGCCGATGGAGTCTCACGTCAATGTTGACATATGAGGATTCAGTCAACGCTAAAGGTGACTACGGATACGCGAGATCAGACCAATGCGAGAACCACAAACACAGTTACACGTGGGACAGACAAGATTGTCCATGACCATTGCAGGCTGCATCTTGCTTCG